GGTCGCCCCAGCTGGAGTATAATGGTGCCATCATAACTCACTATAATCTCAAACTCCGAGGTTCAAGTGATCCTCCCACCTCACCCTCCTGAATAGCTAGGACTATAGGTGTTTGATACCACACCCAGCTAATTTTTAAAATATTTTTCTTGAGATGGGGCCTCACTATGTTGTCCAGTCTGGTCTCAAACTCCAAACCTCAAGCAGTCCTCTTGGCTTGGCCTCCTAAAGCACTGGAATTACAGGCATGAACTACTGTGACCAGACCAGTGATTGTATTTTGAATAGCTACTAACCTCAGCAGTAATTCTCCACCTATATTATCATTGTGTGAATGACAAACCCTAGTGGGTTAGACACACTTCTTGTACATTACTTCTTTTCACTGAGTATGGGGATGCAAGTTGGCAATAGTAAAATTTTGAGCTAACACTTTAGTGTGGTATATATTTTAAACATAAATCTTTTTTGCAAACTTTGCACCTATTATTAGTAGCTAAATATTGTAACATACTTCACATCTGATCAGGACACTATTGAAACATCATTATTGATAACCTTCTACTAATCTACTTATAATAACTAATATTTATTGAGGGCTTTTTACTATGTGCCAGGCACCACTTTAAGAAGCTCTTTTCTTATTGGCTCTTCACAACAACTTTATTTTATTATCCCTGTTTACAGATAAAGAAATTTAGGCCTACTCAACTAGGAAGAAGTAAAGCCAGGATTCAAACTCAGCCATTCTGGTTCCAGAGCCTCAGCTCTTAACTGCTGCCATGTAATGTATAGAATATCCTAAGTTTTGGCTAGGTGCAGTGGCTCACATCTGTACTCCTATCATTTTGGGAGGCCAAGGAGGGCAGATCATCTGAGGCCAGGAGTTTGAGACCATCTTGGCCAATATGGTAAAACCCCGTCTCTATTAAAAATACAAAAATTAGCTGGTCATGGTGGCTCACACCTGTAATCCCAGCTACTCAAGACTCTGAGGCAGGAGAATTACATGAAACCAGGAGGTGGAGGTTGTTGCAGTGAGCCAAGATCACGCCGCTGCACTCCAGCCTGGGCGACAGAGCAAGACTCCCTCTCAAAAGAAAAGAAAAGAAAAGAAAAGAAAACTTCTCTAGAGTAGACAGGAGCATATGAGTTGTAAGTAACCACAGCCTTTCTTGATTATGTTTTTACACTTCGTTGTGTGAAGTTGGGACTTTGGAATAGGGAAGAGAGAATCCTAAAGTGGTTCTTCATCCTACTCTTTGATTTCCTTTCATCCTACTCTTTGATTTCCTTTCCTAAGTAATTTATTTTCTTTTGACGTTTTCCTTGTAGCATCAGCGAGAGCTTTCTAACTGTCAAAGGTGCTGCCCTTTTTCTACCACGGGGAAATGGCTCATCCACACCAAGAATCAGCCACAGACGGAACAAGCATGCAGGTAATGCTTGCATATACACTATTTCTTTCTTGGTAACCATATCTTATGTTATATTTTAAAAAGCTGACTGCCTCATCCACATCTCTTCAGAAGTTCTTTAATGGTGAAAGAAAGCATTGTACTGTGTTGTAATCACTTTTCTTTTACACTCTCAGACCATGTTTCTAGCACTTAGCAAAAATCCTTATACACACACTAGATGCTTAATAAGTTTTTGTTCGAATAATAAGGTACAAAATACTCTAATGAACTTATATGAAACTTCTCATCTCAGTTAATGTTGTTGTTTGTTTGTTTGCTTGCTTGTTTGTTTTGAGACAGAGTCTCACTCTGTCACCAAGGCTGGAGTGCAGTGGCCTGATCCTGGCTCACTGCAACCTCTGCCTCCCAGGTTGAAGTGATTCTCCTGCCTGAGCCTCCTGAATAGCTGGGACTACAGGTGTCCACCACCATGACCAGCTCATTTTTGTATTTTTAGTAAAGACAGGGTTTCACCATGTTGGCCAGGCTGGCCTCGAACTTCTGACCTCAGGTGATCTCCCCGCTTTGGCCTCCCAAAGTGCTGGGATTACAGATGTGAGCCACCATGCCCAGCTAAGTATTTTTTTTTTTTTTTTTTTTTGAGATGGAGCCTCACTCTGTCGCCTAGGCTGGAGTGCAGTGGCATAATCTCAGCTCACTGCAACCTCCACCTCCTGCGTTCAAGCAATTCTGCCTCAGTCTCCCAAGTAGCTGGGACTATAGGCATGTACCACTATGCCTAGCTAATTTTTGTATTTTTAGTAGAGATGGGGTTTTACTGTGTTGGCCAGGCTGGTCTCAAACTCCTGGTGTCAAGTGATCCGCCCACTTCAGCTATCCAAAGCACTGGGATTATAGGTGTGAGCCCCTGCGTTCAGCCCTCAGTTAAGGTTTTGAGTGCTCAGGTTAAAAACGTTCAGGTGGGCCAGGCACAGTGGCTCACAGCTGTAATCCCAGCGCTTTGGGAGGCTGAGACAAGAGAATTGCCTGAGTCCAGAATTTTGAGGGCCTGGGCAAGATGGTGAAATCCCGTCTCTACAAAAAAATAAAAATAAAAAATTAGCCAAGTGTGGCCTGGCGTGGTGGCGTGAGCCTATAATCCCAGCATTTTGGCAGGCCGAGGCAGGCAGATCACCTGAGGTCCAAAGTTTGAAACCAGCCTGGCCAGAATGATGAAACTCCTTCCCTACTAAAAATACAAAAATTAGCTAGGTGTGGTGGCACATGCCTATAATCCCAGCTGCTCAGGAAGCTGAGGCAGGAGAATCACTTGAACCTGGAAGGCAGAGGTTACAGTAAGCCAAGATCGCACCACTGCACTGCAACCTGGGCAACAGAATGAGACTCTGCTTCAAAAAAAAAAAATTAGCCAAGTGTGGTGGTGTACATCTGTGGTCCCAGCTACCTGGGAGGCTGAGGTGGGAGAATCTCTTGAGCCCAGAAGGTTGAGGCTGCAGTGAGCCATCTGCCATTTTCACACCACTGTACTCCAGCCTAGGTAACAGAGTAAGACCCTGTCTCAAAAAAAAAATAAAATAAGAGCCAGGCACGGTAGCTCACGCCTGTAATCCCGGCACCTTGGGAGGCCAAGGTGGGTGGATCACTTAAGGTCAGGCATTCGAGATCAGCCGGGCTAACATGGCAAAACCTCATCTCTACTAAAAATACAAAAGTTAGCCAAGCATGGTGGCGTGTACTTGTAGCCCCAGCTACTCAGGAGGCTGAGGCAGGAGAATGGCTTGAACCTGAGAGACAGAGGTTGCAGTGAGCTGAGATTATGCCACCGCACTCCAGCCTGAGCAACAGAACAAAACTTCATCTCAAAAAACAAAAAAAGTTTAGGTGTTCTCTTGAATTTGTTCAAAGCTACTTCAACTAACCAAAACCTAAATTTCTGATTTATTTCTGCTCTCTCTTGATGATATAAGGAGGAGAATGATACAGAATATACTAAGATAAACTCATTGTCATTGCTGTGATGAGTCATTATGTCACGTAGTCAAATGCCAGTGTTCTGCTCCTTGAATATATACACTAAAAGACTGAAAATTTAACCCAGAGGACTCCTAGAAACAAAGAATCATCAAATGTTCACGTAGGAATGAGTATAAGACTCTGGTTTTGAAATATCAACTAACAGTAGTATATGCATTGTATTCTTTTATATTGGATTTCTCTAAAATCAGGAACACCTGTGGTGATGAGGTTTGAAAAGAATCATAGAAAATGTGTCCTAGGGAGAGAGATCTCAGGCATAGGATATCCAGAGTTTAAGGAGATAACCTGATGCTTCTCTTCTACCAGCAGACCTTATTTGTCATTTTGGGGGGAAAAATAATAGCCTGAGGACACTAATCCTGATCTATGGTATACAAAAAGGTGATTGCTTGTTGTCATAAATGTGCCACATTGACAACTTGTGTCCTCCAGGAGTGAAAAAAATTGCAATTACTACAAAAGGAACAGCTTAAGTGTTTAGATAAGAGGTGAAAGCCAAAAATACTGGATCCCATTGAGCCAGTAGTTGAGTTTAGCTTTAGTCAATATAATCATGGCTATTTTAGTGGCTGCCCTACTACTTGTTTGGGCCTTCATCTAGTTGCAAGTGTGGCAGCTCAGAATTGTAATCCATTTTGTTTGGGCAATATTATCCTACCAGAACTCTTCAGCCATGGAAAATTTTTTAGAGTAAGGGGGGAAATAACCTCTTTTGGAAATTAGCTTGGATTACACTTTCTAAAATCTTCCTCCTCAGTGCCCAATACCAGAGGTGAGGTCAGGGAGGACACTTCTCCAGACAACTTGTATGTGTGGAAGAAGTATGCCTGCTAAGCTTTGTATTTCTGTTCTGTGTGGATATTTAGCCCTTACAGTAAAAAGAAGATAAATTATTGGATTAAATCCAACTTGTCTGATTAGGATGTTGGGCAAATTGCTGTATAGCATGTAATAGTTAATGGGGTCAGTGGCTTTTAAAGTTTCTGGCACTGGTTGGCATTTTTTTTTTGGTCAAACTTCTACACTCAATTGCCACCCAGGTTTCTACTTAACGTTGTTCATTTAGCTTTCCTCATACTAAAAAGTAAAGCAGATTTAACACAAGCTGAATAGACTTGCTTTGTGATCCAGACCAGAACAGATGAGGCAGTGCAAGTATAAACTCAGCTTACAAAAGCCAGAGTGTCACGTAAACTGAACTGCCTTGGCTAATCCCACAGTAACTGAAAGTTGATGGCAGAATTGAGAGCAGATCAAGGGCTTACCATGTCTAATTGTACTTCCTTATGCATGTTTCTTGAACTGGTTAGAATTTTTCAACTGGGCTGCATATAAAATATCCAAGCACTATTTTGCAATCAAAGAAGGGTGTTATGAGTGAATGTCTGCCAGCATTTGAAATGGAAATAATTAAAAGCCTATAAAACCAAATAGAAATCTGAAATTTAGCTCCTAGAAGTGAAGTATATGGTGGGAAAATGTAGGAAAGGGATCTCAGTGGTATATCGGTATATTGCCTTCTCTTAGACTCTGTGAAAAACAGTTTCCTAGTAGGAAATGGTATGCAGTTTGCTCAGAGCAGTACTTTTTGCAGCTAACAAACCTGAGCTTCCAACTCACATAAGAAGCCTTACTTGAGTAGGTAGGACTCCTGACTTTTTTGTCTGAGCTTCAAATAAGCCAGCTGAATCTTTGGGCCAGTAGTGTTTGGAGTGGGGACTTTGAGCTACTATTTAGGGTTCTCCTCTAGAAGTTCTCCATCCTAAAAATCCTTTCCTGTGGTTATTTCTACTGGTAGGAGAGAAGGAAACTTAGTTTTAAAGAAGCTTAGGCCTGGCACAGTGGTTCGCGTCTGTAATCCCAGCACTTTGGGAGGCCAAGGTGGGCAGATCGCTTGAGCCCAGTAGTTCGGGACCAGCATGGGCAACATGGTGAAACCTCTTCTCTACAAAAAATACAAAAAATTAGCCAGGCGTTGTGGCACACACCTGTAGTTCCAGCAACCCTGGAGGCTGAGGTGGTAGGAGGATTGCTTGAGCCCAGGAGGTCACAGCTGTAGTGAGCCGTGATAGTGCCACTGTACTCCAGTCTGAATGGCAGACCCTATCTCAGGAGGAAAAAAAAAAAAAAAAAAAAAAAAGTAGCCTCAGCTGCTTAACTCAGTTGCAACTTGTAACTCTGGTAGCTTTTCATTGTTTATACACAACACTTTGTCTCCTCATACTTGTTCTTTTATTTTTTGTTTAACAGCTTTATTGAGATATAATCCACATGCCATATAATTCACCCAGTTTACTCATTTAAAGTGTACATTCATTGGTTTTTAGAATAGTCACAGAGTTGAACAATCATCACCACAATCTAATTTTAGAACGTTTTCATCACCCTAAAAATAAACCCGATATCCATTAGCAGGCACTCCCTATTTCCCTCACTCTCTCTCCTAGCCCTAAGCAGCTACTAATCTACTTTCTGTCTCTATAGATTTGCCTATTCTTGATGTTCTGTAAATGGATTTTTGAGACAGGCTCCTTTTACTTGGCATGTTTTCAAAGGTCATTCATGGTATAGTATGTATCAGTATAT